TTTACAGTATCGAGGGTTGTACCTGTGCGGAGCCACAATCCAGTTGTCCCACTTCAGCTGACTAAAGCTAAGTCTAAAGTCATGGAGCTCACACTCATTTTGGGGAAAAATAAACTGTTTGAAGTACTCACTTAGATTGAGGGCAGCTGGGACCAGAGGCTTCTTCAATTTAGAGCTGACAGTTTCCTGTCCTCTGCGGTGACGGTGATGGGAAGTTCTCCCATCCTCAGCAGCCTCTTCTCCCACAGGATAGGCAGACTGACTTCTCTCCTGGTCAGGACACTGGGAAGGCCTCCTTTCATAGTGAAGGGAATACCACCTGTGATGAGCCTGAGCACTTGTGTCATTCAAATATAAGATGAGTGAGGGTGGTACCAGAAGAGTCATGTTAAACAAACCATTCTGTGCTAAAGGATGCTGCAGCTGGTCTTTCATGCATGTAAAATTTACAGACATGTGAACACTTCTCTTGTTGGAGGCCACTAAAGGTTGAAGGAGGCTGGTCACATCAATTTCAATCCACTTGTGTTTCTTTCCAAACTCAAACTGTGATTTAAAGGTAAATGAGTATGGACCTCTGGGGAGAGTCTTGCTAGAAAACTTTGGCTCCTTCATCATCAGGTTGCACACACATTTGATAGCAGAGGAAAAAGAAACTGAGTCATTGACAGTGTACAGCAAGACTGACTTGAGTAAGTGTTCAACGGTACTAATGCGATCCAGGTTAAATAGCAGGTCCACTGATGGAAGGATTCCTGAGAAGAAAAACAATCTAGCAGTAGTGCTTGAATATGAGTCAACATAACAGGCAGTCAAGTCAAGGAATCAGTACTTTGTAATATGCTTTCTCCCTTCTTTTTTTTCTGCTTTCTCAAGATTCAAAAAAGAAATGGGGTTTAATATAGAAAAGGAAGGCAACTGGTACCATTACTAATTCCCAGCAACCATACTGGACATTTTCTCTCTAGAAAGTCAGATTTGGTGGTGAATTAAAGTAACAGGGAATCACTACATTCTGAGGTTTCAATTTTATTTTTTTCAAGACAGGGTCTCACTCTGTTACCCAGGCTGGAGGGCAGTGGCACCATCACGGCCACTGCACTCTCAACCTCCCAGGCTCAACTGATCCTCCCACCTTAGCCCCCCAAGTAGTTGGGCCTACAGGTGCGAGCCACCACGCCCAGCTAATTTTTTTTTTTTTGTAGAGACAAGGTCTCGCCATGTTGCCCAGGCTGTTCTCCAACTTCTGGGCTCAGGTGATCCTCCTGCCTCAACCTCCCAAAGTGCTGGAAGCACAGGCATGAGTCATTGTGCTCAGCCTGAAGTTTCATTCTGAATAATTTGCTCCAAACACAGAAGCAGCTGATAAGGAAAGTAGTATTTTTCACTTGGATCGTCTCTAGAGGGCACACCATAATAGAAACACTTATCAGACTTATTAAGATGACATTCTAAGCCTTAGTGAAGAAAGCCAATTTACAAGGTAATCGTCCGAGTTAATTTAGAACACTTGAGATTAAGAACAGATGCTCTAAAACCACTATATTAAAATAGGATATTAAGGAAGGAAAAAGGGTTTTTGTTTGGAGACAGAGTCTCACTCTGTCGCCCAGGCTAGGGTGCAATGGTGCAATCTCGGCTCACTGCAACCTCCGCCTCCCAGGTTCAAGCCATTTTCCTTCCTCAGCATCCCAAGCAGCTGGGACTATAGGAATGCACCACCAGGCCCAGCTAATTTTTGTATTTTTAGTAGAGATGGGGTTTCACCATGTTGGCCAGGCTGGTCTCGAACTCCTGACCTCAAGTGATTCGTCCGCCTCAGCCTCCCAAAGTGCTGGAATTGCAAGCTTGAGCCACTGTGCCTGGCCTAGGAGAAAGGATTTTAAGCAGACACAACTGCCCTGTTGGGTTCCAATGATTTTAAATCAAGAGCTGGTTGCTCGGCTCAATGGCTCACATTTGTAATCCCAGCACTTTAGGAGGCTGAGGCAGGTGGATCACCTGAGGTCAGGACTTCAAGACCAGCCTGTCCGATATGGTGAAACCCTATCTCTACTAAAAATACAAAAATAAGCCGGGCACGGTGCCGTGCGCCTATAGTCCCGGCTACTCAGGAGGCTGAGGCAGGAGAATCACCTGAACCTGGGAGGTGGAGGTTGCAATGAGCCAAGATTGCACCACTGCACTCTAGCCTGGGCCACAGAGTGAGACTCAGTCTCAGAAAGAAAAAAAAAAAAAAGCTGGTAAATATGTTATTTTTTTAAAGCACCATACCCAACTGCTGAGTCAAACTGTGAACTAATATTTTGTTCTTGTAAGGGCTGACCGTTCCAAATGGGGACTTAAGATTTTCTCTCAAACAAAGTAACAAGGAAAAAATATCCTATTTAACATGGCACACCAATAGCTGTTAGAGATGTTTAAAGCCCATTTCCGGGCCAAAAGTTTAGTGGTATACAAAGAGATGCTACTATTCTCCAGCAGCATTTCCCCTCAGCCTTGAAAGCCATTAAGTCTCTGGTGTCGCTTTAAAATTCCATCTTGTAAGCCCACCTTAACCAATGAGAGCATCAGGAACAAACAATAAGCTCAAGTCCCAGATTTGTTTCAGTTGGATACTGAGTTTTATGCAAAATAAAATGCAATTCAAGGAGCTAGGCTCAGCTCCTTTCTGTAACTGAAATGCAGAAGTGTTTATCATCCTCCCTCCATCCAGTTAACCAATCTGCTTTTACACACCTGTTACCTGGTCTTCAGGAGCCTGCTTGTGCTGGGTACAGGGGGTGAAGAGCCGAACAGTGTTGTAGAGGTGACTTCTATTGGATTTAGGAATCCCTTCCTTCGTAGCGTATGTCTTATAGAGCTTCTTCATGTAGTGCAAAGCTCTGGAGTCTGGCTGCAGCCTAGGTGCCCCACCTCGCCCACCAGAGAGAACTTTGAAAAGTGGGGGAAGGAGGCCAGCTCTGTCTCTCTCATCTGTAGGCCGCAGCAAGGACCAAGGCTTAGCCTCAGATGCCAACTCAGCACTAGCAGCAATCTGAGCATCTCCCCTAGAAGCCTGGGAACCAACACTAATAGGAAAACACAACCAGTCAAAGCAGCAAAACCAAAGGAGGAATTTGCTGGGAAGCGCCATGGCTTGGGAGAACTAGTGAGGAACATTATTTCTCCATGCCAGTCCTCTTCCTAAAAGCCAGGAAGAGCCTACCTTGGTCTCTTAAATAAATTTTAGGTGTGTGGGTGGAAGAGCATCACCTCTGTAATCAGGCCTCAAGTATGCCTAGCTGAAGATGATTTTTATCAGCTCTATATCAAGCAGCTGATAACACCTTATTCAGCCAATGTATTCATCAGATAGAGATTTGGTTATTTAGCTTTCCTCTCTTTTCCCCTGCCATTTACTTAAAACCTGTCATTGTTGTACTACTGGGCTAGCTATGTAGCTGAAAGTCTACGATAAATTGAGGAATTATCTTAAATCTCTCAATTTTTGAGAAACTTGGATTCCTAAAATGTTTGTTAGGTGATTGAAACTTCTGAGGCACGTGGAAAAGCTAACCAATTATTCATGATGATACTCAGATCTGTTGGTATTCAACGAACGTATGGTATTAGCTTTACTCTTCTTCTTAATTTATCCCCGCTGCCTCTTCCACTTCCAGGTATTTACAATATATAATTATTCAGTGCATGTTAATTTGAGGGGTGAGAAAGTCATAGTTGGCATGGAAGTTCCCAGTCGTCCCAAGTGGCTGGGTACAGAATATGTACTTGGAGTATTGCAATTGTATTTGCAATGTTCCTAAAAGAGAAGGACATTCCTTTAATCTTGATTTATTTTTAAATATAACATCTTGATGTCCTTACTTTGGTCCACACACTCATCTATACATATTTTGGTTGAAAGGTTTTGGGATGTTTGCAGATGCTATACAATAAATGTTTTATTTTTTATCATTCATCCAAATGGTGGTAGAATTCGCTATAGCATTTCTGTCCTTACCTGTATTTCTGTTCTTGCCTTGGAGCTGAGACCAGGCTAGACATTATGGTTTAGAAAAATGAGGCAAAGAACACCACAAAAAGCTGAAATGAGGGGATATTCAGCGCCACTCCGAAAGAGACTGTGCTGGAAGAAAGTCAACTCACACTCATAGTACAAGATACAAAGCCAGTCTGTGCAGTAGCTAGAATGAGAAAATTAAGGTATGTCTGCAAAATACAAGTTGACTGCCTGCCGAGACTCTGTGGTCCGTAAGCAGTATTAGAAAACACACTCAACTGTTGAATGAGAGTTTGGTCCTAGATTAGATATGGCCAGCAATTCCACTAACAAAACATTGACAGCCGCCGCACGATGAGCTGCACAGCACAACAGCATCGTTAAGCAGAATGCACTTTAGGGAAAACACCAGAAGGCCTCTCACCCGACAGTCCTTGCTTCTCATGCGGGGAGAGGAAAGAACTGGGGCATAGTGATACCCCTCACCCCACGCAAACCATCTGGGGAGGAGGCTGGCTGCTGTCGACGCAGCCTCAGTGTTCATCAATTGCTTGATGATTATTTGATGATTTTTGTGGCTGAATTTCAAGAAACGTTTGTATTATCTCTTGGGACTGTTTACACCCTGCCAGTGGACTCTAAAACAGAGGTTACCAAGAAAAGCCCTAGATGTGTGTCCCTGATTTTGGTGCTGGGGTTGCTGGTGGCCTGAACATAACGGAGCCCCCTTTGAGCTACTGGCCAAGACCAAATAAAACTTCGCGCTCCTCTGCTGCGGGGTGCCCTGGCCTCGAGACTCAGAGGCGCTCTGTCTACAGCCGGGAGTACTCGGAGGCCCCAAGCTCCTGGCCAGCGCGGCCCCGAGGTCGGCAGGCCCCTTCCTTGTCACCTCTTTGTCCCCTCACCCGCCTCCCGCATTCGACCGCTTTCTGACTGGACTCCACAGAAAGGCCGACGGCTGAGGAGAAGTGTGAGCGCCTCCGCCTGTCCACTGCTCCCCAAAGCCCGCTCAACCCCCGACGTCCTCCGCTAGGCTCCAAGCCACGGACCCAGGGAAGGCCTCCAAGGCACCGCCCACCTACGGGTCACCCAGTCAGGACACTTCTTTCTGGGACAAAGGCGTCACCCCCCTGGAGGCAGCAGGAAAATGGTATCTCCCAGAAGTGATCTCACGTCCTCCAAGAGCCGTTTCCGATCTTACCGGAAGTGACGAACGAGTCCACCGAATCGGTGACTGCGGTGGGGTAGGTGACTCCAGTGCGTGAGTGGCGTCTGGTTGTGCTGTGTTAGTGGACCCTGGGAGGCTAAGGGTGCCCCCCCTCCCTGGGCTGGGGAAGGATAAGGAGTGCAGGGGCAGGCGTCTGGGGTTGGGGACAGACCCCCGCGGGGACTGCGGCGCTTCGCGAAAGCGAGCCAAGCGCCCGTCCGCCCTTGGTCTTGCAGGGCCGCCGCCACCATGGGCCGCGAGTTTGGGAATCTGACGCGGATGCGACATGTGATCTCCTACAGCTTGTCACCTTTCGAGCAGCGCGCCTTCCCGCACGTTTTCACTAAAGGAGTCCCCAACGTGGTGCGCCGCATTCGGGAGTCTTTCCTTCGCGTGGTGCCGCGTGAGTGCCCAGGGCCCGTGGGGGCGGGAGGCTGGACCCCAGCAGCAGCAGTCACTGCGGCTCCCCTCTGAGCGCTGGCGGTCGGGCAGGCGCTTTGTAATTTGCAGTACACACCTTTCTCGTTGAATATTCGTGACCGCCCATAAGCTGGTCATATTATCCTCCCCATCTTACACGGGGAAAACTGAGTTACAGAACTGAAATGACTGGCTCAGGGTCACTCGGGTGATTCCAGCATGTTCTTCTGAGGTCATCTTTATCCAATTCTTACCAGTGGTGAAATGCTTTGTAAAACATGCAGCAGATAGTGATGATAGTTACACGGCCTTGGATATGCTAAGAACTACTGAAGAGTATACTTTAAACAAGAGGACTAAGATCTTTTTTTTTTTCTTTATGTCTTATATGTGTGCTCTCTTGTTTTTTAAAGCGTTTATAGGGTTTTATCTTCTCTACACATGGGGGAATGAAGAGTTTGAGAGATCCAAGAGGAAGAATCCGGCTGACTATGAAAATGACAAATGAGCAACGCACCCGAATGACAGTTCCTTGACTCTGAAAGACCTTTCTCTGGAAGAGGAGTCTGCATTGTAGTCTCTTAAAGACACAGTAAACTTCCTATGGTCTGCACTGTTGTGATTTTACATTTTTGTGAACAGAATCCTGTGTGACCCCTAATATTCAAGTTCATGAAGCTCCCCTCCTCAGCATGAGTCTTAGAAGTTTTTACCTGGTCTAGGGTTTTAGTGAAGGAGCAGGGCTCGCCTTTTGTTCCATAATCTACAAGAAAGTAGCTGTAGCTAACCGTTTGTGGGTGACATGGGCTGTGGGGAATGCTGGTTCTTGGCCCTCTGCTGCCATAACAATAAAGTCTAGTAACTATATGGTAATTACTATATTTCAGGTACACTTTTTTTTTTTTTTTTTTGAGAGGGAGTTTCACTCTTCTTGCCCAGGGTGGAGTGCAATAGCTCAATCTTGGCCCACTGCAACCTCTGACTCCAGGGTTCAAGCCTTTCTCCTGCCTCAGCCTCCCGAGTAGCTGGGATTACAGGCCCGTGCCATCACGCCTGGCTAATTTTTTGTATTTTTAGTAGAGGAGGGGTTTCTCCATGTTGGTCAAGCTGGTCTTGAACTCCTGACCTCAGGTGATCCGTCCACCTCAGCCTCCCAAAGTGCTGGGATGACAGGCGTGAGCCACTGTGCCTGGCTGATTTTTTGTTGTTGTTTTTTGTTTTTTGAGATAGAGTCTTGCTCTGTCACCCAGGCTGGAGTGCAGTGGTGCAATCTCCACTCACTGTCACCTCTGCCTCCTGGGTTCCAGCAATTCTCCTGCCTCAGCCTCCCAAGTAGCTGGGATTATAGGTGCAGGCCACCACTCCTGGCTAATTTTTTGTATTTTTATTAGAGACAGGGTCTCACCGTGTTGGCCAGGCTGGTCTGGAACTCCTGACCTTAGGTGATCTGCCTGTCTCAGTGTTGCAAAGTGCTGGGATTACAGGCGTGAGCCACTGCAAGCCTGGCTCCAAGTACTCTCCTCATCCACACAAATGAACTGTGAAACCTCACAAGCACCCTTGATGTGTCACCCTCTTTTTGCAGATGAGGAAACAGTCACAGAGATTAAGTAATTTGCCAGAAAGTATACAGCAGTGAATGGTGGTGTCTTGCACTAAAGTGATGCTCTTAAAGCTATGTTTTAATTCCAGGGTGTCCGATCTTTTAGCTTCCTTGAGTCACACACAAAATACACTATGATAGTTGATGCGCTTTAAAAAAATTACAAAAACTCAATGTTTTAAGACAACTCAATTTTTGTTGGGTCAGATGCTGCCCACGGGCTGCAGGTTGGACAAGCTTGCTCTACTCCGTTTCCTTCTAAGGCAGGCCTTACCCTGAGGGGATCTCTTGGCCTCCACAGAAGTTTTCTGTTTCTGTGCCAGGGAGCCAACAGTGTTTTAAATCATATGTGGTTCATAAAGCCTCAATGATATACTCTGGCTCTTTATGAAAAAAAGTTAACCCCTGCTCTAGAGCGCTTACATTCTTTTTTTTGGTAGAAAAGGTACCTTGCCCACCAGGAGATGGTGGGGGTAGATGTGGTTGGCCGTTCTATGCCTCTCGTCCCTCAGAGAGGCTTCTCTTAAGCTTAGGTGCACGGATCTCACCTGGGGTAGTGGTTATGTGGAATAAGGTGAGTTGCATAGCTCAGTCAGCACAGTACATAATATGAAAGCTGAGATTTGTTTACAGAAACTCTTCTAAGGACACTTCTGCTAGCAGCAACTTCTATTCTGGCTCAGACTATGTTTATTATCCTAATTACTGCTATTGCCTTTTAACAATCAAAAGATAACTTCAAAACATGGCTGGATTCGGTGGCTCATGCTGTAATCCCAGCACTTTGAGAGGCTGAGGTGGGTGGATCACTTGTGGTCAGGAGTTTGAGACCAGACTGGCCAACATGGTGAAACCCCATCTCGCTCCTAAAAATACAAAAATTAGCTGAGTGTAGTGGTGTACACTTGTAATCCCAGCTACTCAGGAGGCTAAGGCAGAATTGCTTGAACCCAGGTGGTGGAGGTTTCAGTGAGCAGAGATAGTGACACTGCACTCCAGCTTGGGTGGCAGAGCAAGACTTCAAACAAAACCTAAAAGATAAACTACATTATGAGGCAGGATATGGGGAGAAGGTTGAGTCTTGGGCTCATCCTCTTAGCCCATCACTTCCTCATTGTGTGATATAGGCAAGAAACCTGCCTTCATGAGCCTAAGTTTCTTGCCCATAAAATGGAACTATTAATATAAAGTTCTTGGGGTGTGGTGATGGTGAAATGAATGACAAATGTCTGGCAAGGTGGTATAGGGTTAACACAGGACAACTAACCGAGTAATTCTTCCACCCCCAAAAGACAGTCCAATTTTCCCGTTTGCCTCTTGGTCCAGGTTTATTCCCAGGTCTTGCAACATATTTGGTTCAGACTGAGGAAACTGTGGACCCTTACTTACCTTGCATAGCTTCAAAAAGTTCACGGCCCAGGAAAGGACCACTGCTTTGGGAGGCCGTTAATGTCTTTCACCCCCTGGTGTTTGCCCCAAGCCTCCAAAGTAGATAGCCACCCTCTCCCATCTTGCTTGCCTTCTTCTACACTTAGACTATTTCTCCCTGGTTCTTTGACTCCTTTGGAGAGACCAGCACAAAATATCCAAACCCCTTTTCTCAGCCCAAACCAGGCACCGAGCCTGTTTTTTATTCCAGGAGTGCTCTACTGAGATGACTGACTCTGCCTTTAGCCCTGTGATGTGCGGAGCTTCTGCTTTGCATGAAATTAATCTGCTTTAAGCCTATGTCTCATCAAGGGGCTTCCCTCTCTTAAGTTTGGGGGCATGGATCTCACCTGTGTGGCAGGTGTGCTGAGGTGGTAGGTGTGTGGAAAGTGGTGAGTTTTAGCAGCTTAGTGCTCCTATACATCATCTGGGATCATTTTAGGGGACATTCTATTTGCAGAAATCTTCAGAGGAGGATCTGAGTAAAGACTTTTTAAGAGAGGACAGCTGCTGTGGGCTTCAGTGCCAGCAGCCCATCCAGAGTCTCCAGCCCTGGGTGTTGAGACTTTCCTTGCTACTCCGGCACAACCACTTGCTCCATTTAACTTTTCTTTCTCCAGATGTTCCTGTCCCCCCAAGTGCTTTTATCTACGGGCTGCAGAGTCTGGTGAAAGGAATGCCCTTGCTCTTTTAGTTTGCCAACAGTCCTCAAAATGCAGGCCTAGAGTAGGCCCAAAAGTCTATGCCAGTTCCAGCCAGCAAAAAAGCAAATACACTTTGACCCATTGTTGAAATTTTACCTGGAAAAGTTTTTCCATTTTAGGGTCTTTCATCTTTTATTAGATACCTTCTGCTTAGGGACAGCAAAAAAAGTTTCCAATTACTGCCAACTCCTACTGATTGACCTGGAATGTTTCAAGAAGCTGCTCATGTATCTACACCCTCTTTCTCCCATTTCATCCTAGGCATTTGCCTCAGAAGCATACAATCGCTGAAAAGTTGTATCCAGTTACCAAGCTCTCAGCTATCAATCTGCTTGTCTCATTTTCTTCTTGTAAATTAATCGTTTGAACCCCCAAAGTGAAAGAACAGGAGACTAAAGCCCAAAGAGGGGAAGGGCTGGCCTATGGGCAGTTGCACTCTAGACCCCAGGCTACTGCTTCCCAGCCAAGCATTCTGTCTTACGGCTGAAACTGTTAAAGCCTACTTAGGCCTTCCTATGGGAGGAAGGTGCATATAGTTATGTAGTTATGTGTATATTCGCTGAGCAAAATGATTGTAGAGTCCATGAATTTTTTTTCTTTAATTTCAAGAAGAGGCCTTCACAGTCTCTCAAGTATGGGATGGCTGTGGACGAATGCTGTCAATTCAGCTAAGTGCTGCCTGGATGTTGCTGTTTGATTTTTGCTCCATACTTAACTAAAACAACTACAGAGTTAATGTAGATATATGTTGAAATACTTTCCCCTTCCCCAACAGCAGTTCCTTCCACAGACAGTAACTAATGGTTTCTTCTTTTGGGGAGAGGGCGGCATAGAACATAGAGGCTTGAACCAAAGACCTCTGCAGTGTTGCCACACTCATGAGGATGAATAGTCTTTTCCCCCTACACAGAGGGCCAAGGGCTTTAAGCTCTTTCCTTGACCATGTTATCGGCTTTACAAATTAACACAACAGGCTAGTTTGATTCTGTTTGAAGTACAGGAAGGCAGAAATGGAGAATTAGAAGAATTACTCATCTTTTGGATGAGTGGTTTCCAAATCCCACTTGGCACGTCACTCTAGACTGGTGAAGGGGAGGCTGGCACTGAGTCCACAGACCCAGCTGGCTCTAGGACATTACGTTGTTCAGTCTTTTGCTTATCTAATCAACATTTGTGTTCTTACCCAATGTTCATTAGGTCAGCACATAGCCACTTCCCCACCCCACAAAAGTTCCCAGTTAGGCCCATAGCTGGGATCATCCAGTATCCAAGCTCAGGGATGAAGGGAGGGAGCAGCTAACTAGTCTGAACTGGTTAGTTGGTATATAGGTCTTTTCTCAATGTTCCTAAGGTGCAAACAGTGACATCCCCCTCCAGGCTTGGCTCTGTGATTCTGAGAGGACTAAAACCAGGATAGTCAGATCTGTGGTCACATCCTGCCCATTTCCAGCTCGGAGGTCCATCAAACCGTCTGCTTCTCCCTTGGCAAGAAGCTCCATCTGCCTGATAGCAGGGTCAGTGGCCATCCTTTTCTACCTTCAGCTATTGTGCATCTCCTCTTTTTCTTGGGGTAAAGGAACAAGCAGATTCTTACCCAAATGTCCAACCTATAAAGATGAGAAAGGCCTTGGGAAGAGGTATTAGCCAAGTTTTCAGTGCGATGCCTGGCAGATAGAATTTGTTGAATTTGTCTTAAGCTTATTATCCTCCCAGGTCATAGAAAGATCTAAAGTCCAATCAATCTCCTTACTCAGAATTCACACCTTTCCCCTCGAACTTAAAATGTCCATGCCATTTCACAAGTACCCATAACTACTCATGGTTTAGATACCTCTCCTCCCTTTGTCTCAGTAGAGCACTCCGTTCGTCTAGAAATTGGCAGCAGTTCCTACTTAAACTGATGAATGCTTTGAGCTTCGAAGGTATCTCATCCCTATGCCCGCTGCCCTGAAGCAGCTGGAAGGAAAGGCCTCACTCAACTACTGGAAAGAAAGCCCGTAATTCAAGGCTTTTAATATAGTCACTACACAAGTGCTCCCTCTGATTTAGGGGATCTTGTTACTTCCTCATCTACATGTGCTTAAAGACAAAAGGAAACCTATAATTATTCAATTCACCTGTGGTCCACATAAGTCTCACATCCAGCCATTACCCTGAGAGGGCAGGAAGCCAGACTTTGAACTTTCCACAGCTAGGTCTTCATTCTACTAGTGAGATGAACTGGTACAGATTAGGGTGATAGTTCATTTAAGCAAGCGGAGGAGCTGGGGAACTGTAGACCTTCCTGAAGCATCCTCCCATAGAAAGGAGATAAGGGCCTTATCCTAATTGCCTGTACACAACAGATCGGTACTTCTTTCCTAGACAAGGCTGAAGGGGGTCAACATTATTTCTGAAGACTTCATTATTGGAATTCTATTTTTACTGGGAGTGATCTCACTGAGCTATTTTGGAATAGAAATGTGGCTAGTTGCCTGATCTCCCTCAATGGTTTCACGTGGCTTTCAAAGGGAAGGAGGGGCAGTGCTGACTTTGGTAAAATGGGCAAAAGGGTCCATGCCAGCAACACAATCACTCAAAGTCCAGATGAGGGATCAGTAAATACAATGTGCCTGAAAGGTGGCCCTTGAGCACATTCCTCTGGTAGACATTAACTTATTAAATTGATTCTGATTACAAATATAAACTTTGCCCCCATCTCACCTGGTAACAATGCAAGAGTCAATGTGAGTCTATAAAAGGAAGTAGGAACTGTCCCTGGCTTTCAGGCTCCAACATCCTGCCTCTGTCAAGATGTGGCACCTCAAACTTTGTGCAGTGCTCATGATCTTCTTGTTGCTGTTGGGCCAGGTAAGGAGGGACGGATATGTATATGTATGTGTGGAGTGTGGTGATGATAGTGGTGGCGGAACCGTAAGTGGAACTTGAAAGCCAGACTCAGTCCTGAGGAATGGTTCCTCTGTTCTGAGTCTGCAGCATCTGGGGAATGATCATTCTTCCAAGGTGTGCAGCAGGGTGTCAACATTTCCATGTCTGGATGTCTTTGCTCTACAGATAAATGGCTCCCCAATACCAGAAGTGAGTTCAGCAAAGAGAAGGCCACAGAGAATGACCCCATTTTGGAGAGGGGTTTCCCTCAGGCCCATTGGAGCCTCCTGCCGGGATGATTCTGAGTGTATCACAAAGCTATGCAGGTACTCCACGAACCTAGCAGCAGGGTTGGGCCAGAGAGCCTTGGGACGCTGGGCAGAGGAGTGATCAGGGGACAAATAAACCTGAGAATAAAGCTGGGCTGGAGGACTTCTGAGCTGAGATTGGGAGCTCCATGAAAAATCCCTTAGGAGTTAGGAGCCAAGAACAGCTCCACATGGGTACCATGAAAGATTGATGACTTTCCATTCTTCAGTCTTTTTTGAGACTAAATAGATCAAGAGAAGAGGGAAATGCAGCAGAGGTAGCCCTGGTCACTCCTAGACTCAGTCTTAAAACTGCCTTTTCTTTTCCCCTAGAAAAAGACGTTGTTCCTTAAGTGTGGCCCAGGAATGAAGTACATACCAGGGGAAGAAAGGATAGCAGTCATCTCTGACAATGCTCCGTTCTATGGAATATTGATTAACTGCATTTTGGCTGGAGACATACAAGTGAAGCAATCTTGTATTTTTAATATTTAAAGGCAGATGTATGCTTTAAATTGGTCTCCATTTCTTCTTAGAATGTTGATATATGGATAAGCATAACTAAACTTGTCACTTTAGAGTTTATTTTTCTATGGATACTATTAAATGTCTCAAATTGAAATTTTAGCAGTCTGTAATTCAAGCTTTTGAGGGAAAGAAGGATTCACTTTGTATACTACAGAAAAAAAGAGCACTGCCCAATAATGTGTTAACTTCTCGATCTGGAAAGTGTGGTAAGAGTTAACATTTTTTCAAGAATCTTATAAAGAACACAATGGTAGGTTAAAGGCAAAAGTTTAGCAACAGCTATGTAATCAGCTTTGACAAGTTCCTAAGTTGTAGCCCTGGATCCCTTCACTCCATGATAACTCTTCAGGGAGGTGTCGAAGACAGTTAAGCTTGAGAAGCTGCGGCAGGAGAATCACTTGAACCTGGGAGGTGGAGGTTGCAGTGAGCCGAGATCACGCCACTGCACTTCAGCCTGGGTGACAGAGCGAGACTCTGTCTCAAAAAAAAAAAAAAAAGATGGTCAAGCTTGGCGCTTGCCATCTAAGACAAACACCCAAGTTTGTCTATGACTGTCTGAATGTAAGGGAGAAAAAGAAAAATCTAGTTTAATAAAGCAGTAAAAGCTCAAGCCACCAAAAGCACCAAAAGGGATTTAAGGTTTCTGCTGGGACAAGGTAAATTTTGACATAAGCACAACGACCCATGGCCAGCCAGTTCAGAATTTCTGTAATCAGAAAATGAGACCTCAGCTGGCAGGAATAGACTTTGTAGTAATAGACCTGAAGACACAAAACAGGAATTGCATGAAAAGGGCTAAGAGTTGAAGAAGTATAAAGAGCACAGTGTTCACTAACTTTAATACAGAAAATCTATTTGATATTTATTAAACTTAGTTTCTCCAGCTATGGTTTGGCATTGTACAAAGCATCTTAATGACACAGTAGAGTTAAAAAGATCTTTACAAATTGAAATGTGATACCCTTGTCTCCAAATATTTTAATTGCCATAAATTTGTTTAAAAATACACATTAAACGCATGTTTGACACTCTAAACTTTCTATACTCTCAATACCACAAAATACATATAATATACTATACAGATGTGGAAAAATCTAGTTAGTATATAATACTTTGCTCACCATTAACAGCTTTATCATGTGAAATGCACATACTGACTTAGAAATCCTAGCTTTTGAGCCCCAAAGTACCTCTGAAATTTTAATGTATTGCAACAAATAAAAATCACAGTATATAATTGAAATTTTGGTTGAAAATGTCAGATGCCTAAATATTCTGGATAAAAGAAATGTAAAACAAAGATTGGGATCATGTACAAAACAAAGGCATCCTATCAGTCACTAACAGTACCTTTCTGCAAAATCAACAGGCTTTTAATTTATCAGTGAAATTACCACCCCTCCAAAATCCTCCCAAAATATCAAACAATTATTTACCAAATAATTTTAATTTCAAATAAAAGGATTTTCAATAAATATATAAGCATTTCCATCCTCCATATACAAAATTTCTTAAAACCATTCAAAACGGAGGTTAGATAGTAATTTTCATAACTGTGCTTACCAACCCCACAACTGGCCCTCAAAGATGGCGCCTTTTCAGGCAATGTCAACTGGGCCAGTTCTGTTGGTGAGCCCTCCACCCCCCACCCCACCCATCCCAGTACTGTTGAATGCTCATGTCAATGATTTGCCAGGTGTGTGCATAAAGTTGTAAAATGGGGACACTTCTGGAACAGCAACAACAAACTCAACAATATGGATAATCATGGCATTGATTTGAAAGGCAGCATTTCCAAATTGATATTTTCCAGAAAGGAACATAGCAGGTAGAGAATGCTAATGGTTAAAAGCTGAAAAGAAATCCCACATGGAAGCCGTAAGAGGTCAAAACTGAGTATTACTAGAATTTCTGGGTGGGAGCTTTTTTTCCACGTTCATTTAGAGAGCTTGTTTTTAATTTTAAGAATGGCAAGTAATGCTTAGCTGAGTAACAGTGGCAAGGAGAGGTCAATGCTGACATTCCTGAAAGTCAACTTCTTTACATGATGACTACTTAGGCTGCTATTTTAAGATACTTAAAGATCTCTAAGACTTGGATTAGACTTAACTTGAATACCTTATTCTGTGACCAAATTACATGAAAAGAAGATATACAGTTATTCTTTCCATTTCCTTTTCTGGAGACAGCAAGTTCTTTTTAATTAACCTTAGGGTTCATGTGAATAGGAGCTTTGTAAGACCAGCATCCACTTTACTATTAATAATTTACTTTTTATCGCTTGCTAACTTGGTTTTGGGGTCTAGAGGTCTATTTTATTTACTTTTTTTGAGACAGAGTCTTGCTCTGTTGCCCAGGCTGGAGTGCAATGGCACGATCTCAGCTCACTGCTACCTCCACCTCCCAAGTGCAAGCAATTCTCCTGCCTCAGTCTCCCGAGTAGCCGGGACAATAGACACGTGTCACCATGCCTGGCTAATTGTTGTATTTTTAGTAGAGACGGGGTTTCACTGTGTTAGCCAGGATGGTCTTGATCTCCTGACCTTGTGATCCACCCACCTCAGCCTCCCAAAGTGCTGTGACTACAGGCATGAGCCACTGCACCCAGCCTAGAGGTCTAAAATGAATTTCTCCATTAGTGAGTATCTGAAAGACATGCTCACAAACATGAACAATTTGGCCTCTTGTCACTTACATATTCCAAGGCATTCAATAATGATCTCTTCTATTAATTTTACTGAATAGCAACCTTAGATGTGCAATATTATTACTGGAAAAAAGCCTGCCTCTTCAACACATTAATGCATAAAGTTGAAATAAAATTTATGTTCCATGTATAAGGGGATATATAGGTATGATAGGTGTCTATATGGGTTTGAAATGCTCTGGCTCCCCAAGTTACTTAGGTTCTTTTTTTAAAAAAAACATCATCACAAGCTGCCTAACAGTCATCTCCAGAAGATGTTCCTGGGACCCAGACACAAACTCCTATAAATCAAAATATATAATGAGGCCATACTGTTCAACTAGCAACTGGAAAATTAAAATCTTTCCCACCCTGTAAGAGCCCTATTACACTACAGAAGTGCTCAAATACGTTTTAAAAGTTAATTTACTACAAATCATAGTAATTAAGCTTTAACAATCTAAAGGAATACACATTGCACCCTTGAACATTAATATTCAAGGTGTCAACAAGAAAGTGTCTTAGATCAATTTAATAAATAATGTGGAAATAGTTGCACTAAGCTAAAATACTAAACACACACATTTTTGACAAACTAATTTCATGTTTTCATACATACATACATATATATAAAGTGTGTATGTGTACATAATTTTAAGATCCAAAGTTGCATACCCTTACACCTAGAAGAGTGCACAGTGTACCCTTCCTCTATATAACTAGGCATCACTGATTGGAACAATCACTGGCTGCTCCGAAACTCCACAGAGTACTGGCCTCCAGAGCCAGAACTTTCATTTATAACAGATGCCTTTTGTAGGCTCTTGCTTCAGAATGCAAGCTCATTCATGAAAAAATGTACCAAAGTTTCTGTCATTAAATACAAAATGATGCTGTCTGATCTGGCTGATTAAATCTTTAATGAAAAGAAACGAACAACAATTTTTTAAAAACCAGTCAATCTAATAAAGCCACAAGTGTGTCACTCAAAGTGCAGCCCAGGTGCCTATAAATCCACCACTGCGAGAGCTCCCAGAAACACAGGCATCTGTGGGTTTGTGCACACACTGCTCTCAATTGCTTTCACACTAGAGAATTAAATCAATGGTGGTCAACCTTCTCCATTCTTCGGCAGCTACGGCTGTAAGTTTATCTGAAGTACTCACTGTGTATAAAGCACTTGCCCAGAAAAAGGTGGCACTGAGGCAAGGAATGGGCTGGATGCTCTCTAACCAGACTGGAGCCTGGGCTGAGCTGTGGAAACTCCCCTGAAGGAGAATGCTCCCCATAGCCCAGCCCAGTCTGGCCCAAGCAAGACTAATGTGACAACTGCATCCACTGCAATTGGTTCGTCGGTTGCTTGTAAAGAGTCCAATGGTGTATAGGCTGCTGCCTCCTGGCATACAAGTGTGGTCATAAAGAGCAATCAACAGAGTAATTGTTAAAATAGTTGTTATTTCTATAATTAACCACATGTTAAGTACAAGTCTCAGACTAAGTTTTTAGCCACTCGTCAAATTCAGTTTTAAATGGTTAGAAAACACTGAGGACATCTATTGAGGAGGGAGGAATGGTCACCTGTAAAGGAGTCCAAAGTACGTGCTGGAGCAGATGATGACAAAGACAGAACATCTAAGAAGACAGATGTGAAGGAAAGGGAGTATTTCCACACACTATGACACTGAATATTCAATCATTTACGATAGGATTTCTATTCATTGCCCATTACAACCTTGTGGGAAAAACCCTTCACAATGAAAAGGTTGAAAAAGTCATTCTCCAAAAATTAACACAGTTTTAAAGAGAAAATATTAGAGCAGCACCATAAACCATGCAGGAAACTCTGCTTTAACAAAATAATCAGTGTGACCCCAGAAATGCTCCTGCTGCCTTTCAGGACACACAAGAGACTAGAACACACTAGAACTTAGAGGTACCCACTGGCTGTTGTTGCTGAAAGTCTGAAAGCCCGGAGGATACTTTTTCCATTTCTAAGACAACACTGCAAGTTAAGGAATCGGAGTCAGAGAAGTCAGAGAAGGACAAGACATACATGTACTTGATTAACAACCATTATTTCTTACTAAATAACTATCATGATCGCTGAGAAGTTGTCCTCTTATGGAAAACTGTTCCTAGAACACACTAAAATTAAGTTAGAAACATATCAGAGGCAATTTCTCCAAGGGAAACGGGTTAAATTCAACATAATTTGTACATCTCAATCTTCAATGATATCTAAAAACAATCTGAGGTACAAAACAGTTAAGAAGCTCTATAAATATGAAGCCACAAGGACAATGTAAGTTAACCTTCAGAACTAAGTGTAAAAAAGACTCAAACTCAAAGGATTCACTGCACCACGGGACTTGAAGCTTTTCTATCCCTTCATTCCCCTTTCCTATTTCAGGCCTTAGCAATCATCTACAAATAGTAGGATAATATTTTTTTTTCTGACTAGATAGATTCATTTTTGGAATGGGGAGAGGGACAAACTATTTTTCAAAGCAGCATTACCCAATTGGTCAGACTAAGTCATGTACCAAAGCAATAGCTTTTCTGAAAGAACTACTCTTTCTGTGACCCTAAAGAAAGATTTAAAATGAAAGAGAATTTAACATTATTATTGTAGAAGACCAATCATGTATGGACAATCTGGTCCTAGTGTAAAACTTCATTTGTAAACAATCCATAGTCTTCATTTCAAGGTAAGATTTAAGGCACACCAAACATGATAGGGGCATGAAAAATAAAGTACAGAGGGTACATTTCTTACCTTTGACTTCTATATGCACCTTGTAGCAGAAGGTACTTTGATATACAACTCTTACAGAGCCGGCTTCTTAAGCTCTACCCCTGGCCCCCTCCCCGTCCCGAGAGCTCACACTGAACAAGTTAGGTACACTTTTCTAGTGTGAAATTTTCTGATTCCATCAGAAACATACATCATTGAAGAGGGCCTTCATAATACAAAAGGAGTAAACATAAGATAGGTTTAAAAAGAAGAAATTCATCATCTCTACATCAGGCATTAGAACTGTAAGTTGTATAGCAAAAGCACACACCAAAGCTCCAGCCTATTTCTGTATCAGTCACTGCATGCTCATATCAGAGCATCACAATCCAGTATGAGGGGGAAAAATCTGAAAAATAACTCTAACCATCAAAGATTATCAGACACATAGGCAGCAACCCTCAGTACTTATTCTGTTTTGATTAAGTGTCAAATGATTAGCAAAAAAAAGAACATATGGTTTTAATAAAATCCATAAAGTTCAGGATTGTCCTTTTATGAAAACCTTTAACACCAAATGCTTCTTCTAGAAAGTTTGCCCACCCTCTTTTGTAATGCATTAAATGCAAGTTATAGTCACCTTGTGATTGCTGTAGTGTTAACACACATTCACAGTTTTTGAAATAATGCATACCAAATCAGACACATTTCATATTACATACATGTAGAATGCCATTCTCTCACATTTAAGTGATTTTTCATGTATAGAAGAATATCCTTAATACTAACTGTAAATTCCACAATAATAAAATGGGAGTTATCATTTCAATTATCAGGTAGTAGGTATAGAAAGAATATGTCCTTATTTTAGATGAACCACTTCTTACTCTTAGAACAGCTACCACAAAAAGACATTAGGTAATAAAGCTCCCAAAGTATATAAATAAAAATGTCTACATTAAATTTATGCTAAATATTCAACAGAGTAAATTCATAGGCAGAAATAACGAAGTCTTAAACTAGCCCCCGTCTGGGAACTTAAAAAAATTAAAATAAATAAAATTTCAATTCATTAGTTATGAATTGCAACTGGAATTTCAATCTTATAGCTCATGGAAACCATCTTATCAATGTGCTGCAGATTTAAAAGCATTTAAATAATTTTTCACATTGGAAATATTAAAGGGGCCAACTGACATGATGGCTTTGGATTATAAAAAACAACAACACATGAACCAACGAGGAGAAAACTATTCCTCATTCTTAGTGTCGACTAGGTGGTATGTTATGGCAGTTTTCCTTCGTGATGTGACACAGTGTTGTGGAGAAAATCAGAGGCAACGAGAATGTGTTCAGTTCAAGATATCAACTTGGCATCCTGGCGAAGCCAGTGCAGTCCCTGCCGGGTGTAACGAACTAGATCTGTCATGATGCTTGCATTAAAGATGAGAGGACCCATTACTTTATCCAGTTCAGCAAAGAATTCTGGAAAACCAAAAATATTCATTAAATGATATATACTCTTTTGAACCACTGCTTTAAAATTTTGAGTAGAGATTATAAAACAGCATTCATATAAACTCAAAAAATACCTCCTCCCACACTAAAATGATTACTGTCCATGTTTTAGAGCAAATCATTCCACAGTCTCTCAAGTTATAGTTGTTCCCTAGGTCATGCACATTTTAAACAGAATGTATAGTCAGAAATTAAGTGTTATATGTATATACAGGATTTCAGGAATGGAAATGATAAAGGGCTATTATATGCAGTAAATATTATTAAAATGAGGACCTAGTGCCACAATGTGCTACTGATTATGCAAAACATTTTGTGTACTATTTTTTTATAAGAAGCTAGTGATACAAAAAGGAAGATGTTCTTTGCATGTTTCCTGTAACAGCCTCTGTGAGGTTAGAGCCTTAAGACTGTATCAAACTTTCAGCTAGAATCATATGCCATGAACCAACTGTTAACTACCCTATGTTTTTATTCATTTATTGTTTTTTTAAGAAGGAGTCTCCCTCTGTTGCCCAGGCTGGAGTGCAGTGGCACAATCTTGGCTCACTGCAACCCCTGTCTCCTGGGTCCAAGCGATTCTCCCGCCTCAGCCAAATGTAAAATACAAAAAAAATTCGTATTTTTTTAGTAGAGACAGAGTTTCGCCATGTTGGCCAGGCTGGCCTCTAACTCCTGATCCACCCACTTTGGGCTCCCAAAGTGCTGAGATTATAAGCGTCAGCCACCACGCCTGGCCACAAATTGTATTTTTTTTTTGAGACGGAGTTTCACTCTTGTTACCCAGGCTGGAGTGCAATGGCGCGATCTCGGCTCACCGCAACCTCCGCCTCCTGGGTTCAGGCAATTCTCCTGTCTCAGCTTCCTGAGTAGCTGGGATTACAGGCACGCACCACCATGCCCAGCTAATTTTTTGTATTTTTAGTAGAGACGGGGTTTCACCATGTTGACCAGGATGGTCTCGATCTCTGGACCTCGTGATCCACCAGCCTCGGCCTCCCAAAGTGCTCGGATTACAGGCTTGAGCCACCGCGCCCAGCCAACACAAATTGTATTTTTATAAATACAACTTTTGTTGTATGTTGGGATTCCTACCGTGGGCAACATAATGAGAACTTGTCTCTACAAAAAGTAGAAAAATTAGCTGGGTATGGTGGCACCCAACTGCAGTCCCAGCTACTCAAGAGGCTGGGGCAGGAGGATCACTTGAGCCCAAGTGGTAGAGGCTGCAGTGAGCTGTGACTGTGCCACTGCACTCCAGCCCGGGTGACAGAGTAAAACCCTGTCTCAAAAAAAAAAAAAAAAAAAAAAAGTTGGGATTCCACTTTTACTTTTCTCTCACCATTACCTCATTACCTCTCTTATGAATAGGAATCTTTCATTTTCATCTGATTAACTGTTGATACTATAAGTATTTAAATGTACTCTGTGACAAAAGGACACTTGATTGACTGGCTAATATAGTGTTTCTCCATAAAGGATCTGCCTAAAGAGAAGCTGCATGCACATATTTGTTAATAACATCTACTAAAATAAAATGGTGTTTATACAGTACTTTCCTCTAAGTTCTTCAAAGACTTTATAATTTTCAATATCCTTAGTTTGGGAAATAAGAAACTTTCAAGGGGCAAAGCCTCAACCAACCTAATTTTAAAGAAATGTTAAGAATTCTATTCATTTCCTAGTCTCCTTTATTTCATAGGTTTCTTCCAGTAAACCTAAAAATCCAGTATGAATATGCTTTCTTATACATTAAACTTCTTAGATGTACAGATGTTTGGATGTAATCCTATGCCTACTGCCAAACTTACTGTTAACTATCATAGAGTAGGACATATATTTTATTACTTTTATCGTATGAGCTGCATTTAATGTGCCAGAATAGAGGCACATTTATCTTAAACCAAGAACTATTTTCAGTTTATTGTAACAGTTCCTTTTAACAATTCCATCCCTCGAAGTTATTCGGAAAGCTACCTACCTTTTTGCTCTTTGGAAAGCTGTTCAGCTTGGTCCCAAATTTCGGTGGCATAGAGGAAGTTGGACGTGACCTGAACATAGCTGGCTGCCATCTGGTGGATCTTCTGTGGAATGGTCACTGAAGAACCACTTGCAGAAGCACTACTGGCCCCAGATGAGTAATTTCCTGAATTGCCTGGTGACAGCTTTGGAGAAACAGGGGAAGGCATCCCCACAGCTTTGCTATACAACAGAAATAGGAAGCTTGTTCATATGGACATGGTAAGCATTATAAAATCAAGTACTACTAGCTCTTTCTACATGAAAGCATTTAAAAATGTAAACATTCTATTTTTTTTTTTTTTTTTTTTTGAGACAGAGTCTCGCTCTGTTGCCCAGGCTGAAGTGCAGTGGCACGATCTTGGCTCACTGCAGCCTCCACCTCCTGGGTTCAAGCAATTTTCTGCCTCAGCCTCCTAAGGAGCTGGGGTTACAGGCGCCTGCCACCACACCCAGCTAAATTTAAAAATATTTTTAGTAGAGACAGGGTTTCACCATGTTAGCCAGGATGGTCTCCATCTCCTGACCTCATGATCCACCCACCTTGGCCTCCCAAAGTGCTAGGATTACAGGCGTGAGCCACCACGCCCAGCCAACATTCTCTTAAACTAGAGGGGTTTGCAGAGAACTACAATTTCTTCTAAATAAGTATTTTAACCTTGCAATTCATAATCTTATTATCTTAGAATCTACACCCTTTGTTTAAATGAATGACAACAAAACAACAAGAGATGGAAGATAACTGAAGAAGTCATATACCTTGTGACAGTTCAAAGACTTAAAAGCCAGATCCTCTTACTCTCTGCTCAACACTTTCCATCTATTCAGGAATATAATTATGTACTTTTCATACTGTTTTGTACAACGTTTGGTGGAATTCACATTTAACCTAAAAAACTGTGGTAGAAGATGGGAACATCTTTTATTGAACTCCATAATTTCTGACACTTTCCTAGTTTAACCAAATTACTCAGCTGACAAAGAGGTACAGCTCTCTCAAGCAACTGCAATCATCCAAGCTTCCTGCCAATTAAATATTTCTTAGAAAACAGGCATGTTGAAATCTGGCAGGTTCATTTCAGGAGTACTAAAATTTGTGAAATGTTCAAGACTATGATCACACTCTGAAAGAAAGGAAAAATCAAAAGTTGGGGAAAATCATAAATTTGTTTATATAATACTAATTTTTTGTATTTTTAGTAGAGACGAGGGTTTCACCATGTTGGCCTGGCTGGTCTTGAACTCCTAATCTTGTGATCTACCCGCCTTGGCCTCTCAAAGTACTGGGATTACAAGCGTAAGCCACCTCATCTGGCTTGTTTGTATTTTTATCTGCACTTTTAACATTATAAATTTATGTAAGAAAATACATACAGGCAAAGACAGAATGTCAATTCGTATAAACATAATAACTGAACAGATAAACAAAATAAAAAAGGTTCCATGGTGTTTTTCATCCTTTGAGGGATGGGTGGGATGAGAGTGATGTGGGGATGGAGGAGAAATCAAAATCATGTCACTGTTGCTAAATTCTGACACTGCCAAGATTTGGCTAACGGTAAGCCCACTGTGATAAGTCCAAGTAACTATGGAAATGAAACTGTGAAAAGGATTGCGTGCTGCAAAAACTCAGATTTCTGTAGGTAAAATGTCTCATATCTAATCTTTATGATTATGTTCATTCACATTTCCAATTCACAAAAAATACAGAGAAAAAATTCTAACTTCTAAAAATATTTTATCAGAAACGGTTTTACTCATTTAAAAAGTAATCATCTTTCCATTTTTTAGAAATTGGACCGTACTCATTTTACTTTCATTTATTTATTTTTAAAAGACAGGGTTTCACCACGTTGGCCAGGCTGGTCTTGAACTCCTAACCTCAGGTGATCCACCCACCTCGGCCTCCCAAAGTGCTGAGACTACAGGCGTGAGCCACCATGCCCAGATTCATTTTACTTTTATTAATTTGCCACACATTTTATGTAATAAAATTTCACCTACCTTCCCAAACCAGGCGATGGTGCTTGAGAATTATTGTAAGAATTCTGTGGAAAAAGTAAAATATACTTAACAACAACAAAAACTACCACTACTTTATAAAGTTGTAAATATATCTGAAAGCACTGGGCCAGAGTTGATCTTAAGGAGCTTTAAAAGTTTAAGACAACAAATACACATGTGTGTGTGCATGCACGTGTTTGTGTGTAAATGTACAAAAAAAAATTATAAGGTGAGAGCTGGGGTGTTCTGGAAGACTTCACAGAAGAGGCAAGGAAAGAATGAGTAACACATGGATGAAAGGAAGGGGAATAAGTCCCAGCTACTCCCAACTGCCCGGGAGCAACTACAGTAAGCCATGATCATTTTCTTTAAAACTTCCTCTTAAAAAAAGGAGGGGGGAGTCTTGGCAAGGGGACAGGGGAGAGATGAATCATACTAAGCACAAAGGCTGCAGAAAAGACAATGTATGTGCCCCATACAGTTTGCCTAAAGCAGAAGTTTAGGCAAGAAACAGAGAGAGACCTTGGGGCCAGGTTAAGGAATTTAAACTTGATCCAGTAGACAACTACTGAAGGGTTACAAGTAATAATCAGAGGCAGATTTTAGGAGGATTTATGTGGTGTTAGCCTGAAGAAACACAGGAAAACCTTTTAGGAAATTAAGATAGTAGTCAAAAAATGATGGCATGAAAATAAAAGATCATTTAAAAAATCTAAAAACAGCGGCTGCACGTGGCTACAAGAGTTCTACAATGAGATACACGTACATTAAAAAACTGAAAGAACCCTCAAACTTGTCTGAAAGGTCCCAAACAGTAGGTCCTCCCCTGTTGTGTTTTGCATAAACATGAGGGCGGTTCTGGGGTGAGGACAGGAGACGACAAATTTTGTCTCCTAAGAAATGTACTTTGCACTTTTGCATGCTTACCTTCAGGTGCTCTGTCAGTGTCTTTGAGTACTTCAGAGCATTTTCCTTCTTCAGTTTGAACAGCCTCAGGTACAGCAAAGATTCGCATCGCAGGCTAGCCAATGGAAAAGGGCAGCTTATTTACCAGGACAGCAAACTGGCCAGATCTGCACAGACAGCCTTTGCATTGTGCAAGTATATATAACTGGCTCATGTGACCACAGCACAGGCCACAACACTAACCCTTAGGCAAAACCAAAAGATGTGTTCTTATTGTGGTATACAGCCTAGGGAGAGGGAGACAACTAAGAGGCCTAGGACTAGCGTTTCATTATTTTTTGACATTCCAAAATTCAAACCTCACCTCATAGGACACCAACATGTGAGGAAGTTTTAAAGACTACAAAGGGAGAGAATTTCCAAACCAAATTGTAAACAATCTAAAATTAAGGAACAAAAACTGGGAAACTCAACTGCAAACATTACAAACCAAAACATGGCTTACAAAGACCCTGCAGGATCATCCCTGCCTGTGTCTCCAGTCACACCTGCTTCTCGCTGACCTTCTTTTAATTCCTTAAAAGTTTCCCATTTCTTTCCACCATTCAGCCCTTATACATGTTGTTCCCTCTAAATAAAGTAGGTCTCCCTACCCTCTACTGTTACAGTTACATATACTTTTCTTTCAAAATATTTAATTAATATGGACTTGTATGATGATTTGGTTGACTTCTGTCTTCTCATACTAGACAATACTCCATGATGAATAGGGCTCTGTTAGTTTTCTTCTTAGTTGCATTCCCAGTGTTAGAGTGCCAGGTAAAGTAAAGGTCTGTAACAAGTGAACTGATAATATCTCACTGGGATGAGGCAAGCAAGTCACACCCTTTATTCTGAGCAAGGTAGATGTATATGTGAATGGAGAGAGAGGGTACCAAAAGACGAGCGTGGAAAAGTCAGTCCGTGGAGGTTTCTAACATCAGTCCCACCAAACCAAAGCTTTCATCAAGCGGGAAAGGGATCAGAGACTGACAACAACTAAAACCTTTTAGTAGGAATTTTGAGTTACTTCCTGCTTGACCCATCAGGAACAGATTTAAGACAGGATTATAGAAGGCTGATTCAAGGAAAACATTCAGAAGAGCAACATGGCACTATTTATCATAGAACTTCCTGTCATCTACAGAGGCTAGTACACAGAAACTCACCAAAGTACTGTGAGTCGTTTATCTGCAGCTGTAGCATCTGGTGCCAAGTAGTTCTTTAGCTTCATAGTGTATCTGTGAGTTACAATAACAAACAAATGACAAACAGAATACTTCACCTTGATCTTATCATTTCACTTGTCCTCAAAACATTAGAATTTCAAACCTAAATAAAAGCAAAAATACTCATTGAAGTATCTACTTCTCCTTTATCCAAGGACATTAAAGGATTATACACCCTCTTCAGTTTACTATATATCAGCCTCTTCCCTAGAGGGACCAGAGAAATAATGTTATTGCTGATGATTTGCCAAGTTTTTCCACTTACTTGATGAGATCCACCGTCTCTGAATACATAGGGAATGGGGATTTGGATTCCTGAGCATTTTTCTCTAATGCATTCCCACATTCAATGAAAGATACCACAGCATCAAGATAGTATACAGCTTTCTCAAACCTATCAGACTGAAGAAAGGAGAATACAAGTAATGAGTAGTGGTCTACTATGGCTACAAACATCAAAAGATTATTTAAGTTAATTTGATTAAATACATAAGTGTACGGAGAATATTTACATACCAATGCATCTGCATTGTGCTTTAGCTTTTTTGCTTCTTGTAGATAATGGTCTGCTGAATAATTTCTGCAAGGTAAATTTTCATTATAAATAAAATAGTAAATATTTTCATAAGATAATACCAGTTCATTTCAGTATCTAGTAACCCTCAGTTTTTATGTCCTCAAGCAAATAAAATGAGCTATTACTAAGTACTTGTTTCAATTTTTTCTGACAAATGTTTATATCAGGTTAAAAGCATAAGTTATTTGGCTAACTCATGGCAAATCTAATTAGGAAAATAGAAATCAAGCTCCCTAGTATTAAATACTAAGTTACTCAAGTTGACTGAAAGATTAAGCATAAATGTGAGCAGAAGAAATAATATTTTATTAAAACAGAGGAAAAAAACAATATTGCTCTTCCTCATCTAAGAAAGACTCCATTTTAACAGTGATATCAGCAGTAGTAAGGTTCTTCTACTAAAAGGCAGATCATTCACATCCCCCATGGGAGTCACTAAAGGAGCAGTACTTGGACTGGTGGGTACCTTTCAAATTGAAACTTGAATATGCTGCAGATCATACGTAACTATTCATCCTTCTGATCAATGATAGAAATTAAAATGAATTTCTTATATGCTGAGTGAAATCATTTCTTAGATACACATACAAAAAATCGTATTATCTTACCTGTCATCAAAGACAAGCTTTGTCCTCCGAGGCTTAGAAGAATCAAGAGTTGGTGCAGATGGAGGACAGTGAGAGGAGCTACTTGGAGCCTTTTCCTGACCAAAAAAATAAATAACTACAATGAAAACTGTAAGGAGATTAAAAATTAAACTAACAGCATTTTTTTCAGCCACTGGTAAAAAGGAAACAAAAATCCATTGCCTTTTTTAAAATTTTTACAATGAACCCTAAGCAGGACATCAAAAAATTCAGTAATTGTTCCTCTCCATGGAAATCTTTAGTAAAAAGCAAAAGACTTATTTGTTATGAAGAGAAACCAGAGCATGTCCATTGCCTTTTGTAATGAATTTCCTTGTTATAAAACTTTTATAAACTTCATAATGTAAACTTTTTTTAAAAAAACAATGGGTCCATTTTATATACCTGTAATATTCATTCTAATATTTATATAAGGGTCTACTATATGCCAGGCACTGGTCTAGGCAGTTGTTAAAACATAAGGAAGACAAAACCTAATACCAAAATGGCAGCACTACTTACGGCAAAATTTATTGGTAGTTACTCGTCAATGAAAACAGCAATAATATTAATAGCACCTAATGTTTATTATGTGCTTATTACTTACCAGACACTAAGTTAACTAAGTTCTTAGCACTGTTTTTAATCCCTCAACCACCTTAGGAAATAAGTACTGCTATAAAGATAAAATGAAAAAGCAGTCTCAAGGAGGTTGAGTAACTTGTCTAAGTTCAAACAGGTTTTAAGTGGCATTCCTAGAATTTGAGTTTTAACTTCAGAATTGTCAGTCTTCAAAAGCCTAGCTACTTTCTTAAACTTTATTCTGCCTCCCATCCACATGTCTTTTTTTTTTTTTTTGAGATGGGGTCTTGCTATGTTGCCCAGGTTGGTCTCAAACTCCTAGGCTCAAGTGATCCTCATACCTCAGCCTCCTGAGTAGCCAGGATAGTAGGCATGTACCACTGCACCTGGCTACGTGTCTGCTCTGCCTCCTTTCAATATAGCCCTATATGATTCCCTCTCAACTGCCTCCCATCCTGCCCTATTTTTAATAAAATGAATACACATTTTTCTACAATAAAACACCATAGACAAGTGGAATTTATTCCAGAGAACTACGACTCTCTCTCAATTGCCTCCCATCCAGCCCTATCTTCAATAAAACAAATATACATTTTTCCATAATGAAACACCATTAACAAGTGGAGTTTATTCCAGGAATGCATGGATATTTCAACATTAGAAAACCCAATAATACATAACTTTACCCAATAATATAAAATTTTTTATATTTATATAAAACATATAAAAAATTTAAATACATAATTGTACTTTGAAATGGCCTTCTGAATATTACGTGATACTGTAACATTATTAGGATAGCTTTCCCTCTGTTTTATTTATTTATTTGAGACAGGATCTCACTTTGTTACCCTGGCTGGAGTGTAGTGGTGCAATCATGGCTCACTGTGGCTTCAACCTCCTGGGCTCAAGTGATCCTCCAGCCAGCCTCCCAAACTGTTGGAATTACAGGCCGTGAGCCACCATGCCTGGCTCCCTCTATATTTCATAAATAGACCCCCTAAGGACCTACATTTAGATTTGCTTTTCAGAGGATTTCTGAAAATAAAAGTTTCCAGATATTTAAACATAGTTTTCTTACATAAAAATTATGTGTAATGTTGGTTTTCCAGATCTAATTTTTCTTTCATTGATAGAATAAAAATTAGCATATTACCTAACTAAATTACAGATTTTTCTCTAATAAACTCAAATGTCACTGCCTAACTTGGAAATTGTCAAGACTGACAAATATTAACTTCAATTACTTTAAGTCCCAAGAACAATTGAAATCAAAGTGGTAAGGACCTATTCTATATTTTGTTGAAAACAACAGAGTCCCAAATGACTACATTTGATCCAACAAATATTTCCTCATTACCCAGCAAGTTAAGTACTAGATAAAACACAAAATAAGTAAGACACAAATCCGTGCTTTCAAGAAGCTGACAAACTTCTTAAAGAAACTCCCTTCTTTTTTTTTTTTTCCTGAGACGGAGTCTTGCTCTGTCGCCAGGCTGGAGTCAGTGGTGCGATCTCGGCTCACTGCAACCTCCGCCTCCCGGGTTCAAGCGATTCTCCTGCCTCAGCCTCCTGAGTAGCTGGGACTACGGGCACGCACCACCACGCCCAGCTAATTTTTGTAATTTTAGTAGTGACGGGGTTTCACCATGTTGGTCAGGATTGTCTCGATCTCTTGACCTTGTGATCCGCCCGCCTTGGCCTCCCAAAGTGCTGGGATTACAGGCGTGAGCCACCACGCCCGACCAAAACTCCCTTCTAATGTGTGTTAGAAGCGTACACAGTGATTTTTACCTGTGAGACAGCAGAAGCCAAATGAGCAGGAGAGCTCACTTAATACATTTTTTTTTTTAACAAAGCAATAGCAGGTTTCAAGACATGAGGCCTCAGATTCTACAGTTAAAGGATGGAAAGTGGAGAAAAACCATCAGCAGGGAGATGGAGAACTGGAGCAATGAAGCAGGGCCAATATAAGAGTCAAGGTCTTAAGCACCTTGTGCTAACACTGAACTACTACAGAAGGAGGTTGTTCAGCTAGAGAAAATGGGTATTTTGATTTGAGAATTTGTTAATTAAAATAATCTTAATTTAAAAATGTTTATTTTACCACATTTAATCAATATAACTAATAGCTTTAAGCAGTCTTATTTTTCAACTCTCAAACCTTTGCTTACTAAATAATAGGTATTTTCTGATTTGAGTAAATTTGTAAACAGTTTAGAAAGCAATGCAAAGAACGTGGTAAACAAATTGAGGGTAAGTCAATTAAAGTACAGCCTTGAAAAAGCTTCTTTGATCCAAATCTCCATCCATAAACATGAAGAATATTCCCCTACATTGTGACTATCCTAGGAATAATAATTAGAAATAATTACAGTGCTAACTTAGCTAAAGATTTCTTTTTCTATTTAATGAATCAAAGGCAAATGATTGCTTTGTCACCTTCCATAGTATAACTTGTTTGTAAAGTCTAATTCTGAGAAACTCAAAGTCTACTTCAAACAAAATACAAGAACTCAATCTTAGCAGCTAAAACCATTTAGTTCTTATTTTAAAAACTTCCATAACCAACTTTTCCAATTACTGGTTTCTACCTTTATTTTTCCAATTTTAAAGTTCTTAGAGACAGGGTCTCATCACGTTGCCCAGGCTGGATTCAAATTCCTCAAGTGATCCTTCCATCTTAGCCTCCCAAATAGCTGGTACTACAGGTATGAGCCACTGCACCCAGGGGTTTTTATTTCAATGTGCATGTGACCAGCTGACTTACTGCTTTCACAGTCTCACATCACTGTATTCATCAATCAGTATTATTATATAGAGAGGATAAAAGGCATAGGCCTATATATTTATTGAGATGTTACAATAATTTCAAAGCAGTGTCACCTTGGAGAAGTCATATGGCAAGCTGAGTGATTTTCAAAAGCCCCAGCCCCTAACACTTTACCTTAACCTCCTTGGAGCTACTGGAAGTCTTCCCTTCAGTCTTCTTCTGCTTGGATGCAGAAGAACTGTTTTTGCTGCTGCCACTTGTCTCCTTGTTGCTGTTACTGCTTGACTTTAAGGAAGAAGACTGACTAATAGTCCTCTTCCTAGAGCCATGCTCTGTTTTTGGATCTTTTGAAGGAACAGGCCCAGCGGGAGAAGGCAACAAATCCTTTTCTTTTGCAGCACTCTGCTTAGATGACCTGCCAAATAAAACAAATGCCCTCATTTCTCCACACAGTGACACAGAGGTGACGGATTTTTCCAGTTCTCTTTGCTTTCAAGACAAATCTGTTTTTCCCCATTTCATTACTAGGACACATGATTTCTGTAAAACAAAATAAAACTGTAAATTCCATGAGGGTAGCTATCTTGTCTGTTTTTATTCCCGTGGTTGTATATGCAGTGCCAAAAATATGACCTACCACTCAGTAAGGACTCAATAAATATTGGTTGAATGAATGAACAAATTGATGAATGGTGAATGAAGAGATTACTACTCATAAGTTGGCAACTAGTCTCTTGGAAATTATAAGTAAGTGTGCCATCTAACCAGAAAGTGGCATAGCTTTATTTTAATTCTCCCCCCATACTCACCCCTACCCCCAATAAAAAATAAAGGAAGAACTAATTAAATTTTAAATGTTGCCCATCCCTATTAGCTAAAAGCAAAAGCTCCCACTATTTGCCATATGTTATGTGTGTGCATTTATATGACACCCATTTACTAAAAGGAACACTCAGAGCATGTTAGAAAGTACCCAGCATCAAGTGATACACATATATTAACAACACTAGCATGCAACATGTTTTGGGGACGTACTCTCTGTTGCTGGATGGCTTATGGCCTGCTGAATTCTTGTCCTCCGTTTTGGGTTTCTTGCTCTCACTGGCTCGGCTATCGTCTTCATTCTAGATGAAAAATAGAAACCGTGGCTACTAGGTCTGATTTTTATTCAACTAACTTCAGCTTCCAGCACTAGCTACCCATAAAGAGTTTATCCCTGATAAGACATCAGAAAGAAAATAAAAGAGAAGTACAATAATTCATTTAAATAATATTGAAAGAGGTTAAGTTTTAAGGCTGAGGTCTCCTATTTTAGATAGACTAAAACAGATTTCCTACAGTGTCTAAGATGGCATCTTTTCGGTGTAATGATTTGGGGGTGGCATCTGTGAAACTATAATTAAGATATGATTTATATAACGTAAAATTCACTCTTTAGAAGTGCACAATTCCATAACATTTGGTATATTCACAGAGTTGAACAACCATCACCACAATGAATTTTAAAATATTTTTCTTATCCTGAAAAGATACTCTATACCCATTAGCAGTCTCTGCCCATCTCCTCCTCCCCAAGATACTGGCAATCCACATTTCATCATTATGGATTTGCCTATTCTAGACACTTCAGGAAAATGGTATCATTCAATATATGTGACCTTTTGTGACTGGCTCTCCTTTCATTTAGTGTAACATTTTTAAAGTTCATCCATGTTGCAGCATGGATCAGTACTGCATTCTCATTTATGGCTAAACAGTATTACACTGCATAGAATTTATTCATTTCGTTTAGTCATTCATCAAGTGATGGCCATCTGGGTTGTCTCCACTTTTTGGCTAATATGAATAATGCTACTATGAATATTCAAGTATAAGTTTTTGTGTGGGCATATGTTTTCATTTCTCTTGGATGTATACCTAGGAGTACAACTGCAGGTCAAAAGGCAATTCTATGTTTAACTTTTTCAGTAACAACCAAACTATGTTCCAAAGCAGTGTCATCATTTCCATTCTCACCAGCACTGTCTCAAAGTTCCAACTTTTTGACAACTTTGCCAACATTTGTTATGGTCCATACTTTTGATTATAGCCCAGCCTAATGACTGAAAAAACTTTCTGATGGAAAACACAATTGGTGGGCCCACTCACTGCCAATGTTATTTTTCTAAATGAATCTAAGTTTTCCTTTTGCTTCAAATATCAGGGCACGAGAATGTAAATATTCTACCACAACATAATAAAACTCATTAGTCACAGTATGGACAGTAGTAAGCTTTGGTTTTCTAGAAATTCAAATAATGTGGACAATTTCAATTTTTAAAGATTCAAAAAGTAGTGAGGTATTATTCTAATTTCTCTTAATATATATCATCTGCACATGGCACTGTGGTTTTATGAAAAGGAGAGTAGAAAATATCTCACTTCATTTTAAGAAAGTGCTCTACTCTCCCTGTAGTATCTAGGATTCTCAGGTCAACTAGATTGGTTCTTGTGTTCTAAGTTTATTGGTAAGGCCATTTGGGTACCTATCTTTTTTTTTTTTTTCTTTTTTTTTTTTTTGAGACGGAGTTTCACTCATGTTACCCAGGCTGGAGTGCAATGGCGCGATCTCGGCTCACCGCAACCTCCGCCTCCTGGGTTCAGGCAATTCTCCTGCCTCAGCCTCCTGAGTAGCTGGGATTACAGGCACGCGCCACCATGCCCAGCTAATGTTTTGTATTTTTAGTAGAGACGGGGTTTCACCATGTTGACCAGGATGGTCTCGATCTCTGGACCTCGTGATCCACCAGCCTCGGCCTCCCAAAGTGCTGGGATTACAGGCTTGAGCCACCGCGCCCGGCCGTCAGGTACCTATCTGTTCACCTACTCAAGCTTAACTTTTAGTCTTTCACAATCATATACAGGTATCAGGGGAAATTATATTATTCTTTGATACAGACTACTTAAAACTTTACGTTCTCCTAAAAATTCCTCACTAGAGCTGAAAAGATCAGGCTGTTTTTCCCAAAGCATCTCTATATGTGTAAGTGATTCAGATCTCTTCATTATATGACTATTATCCTCTGATCATAGACACGTGTGAGTTTTCACATTTCCTCTAAGAAAACTTAAATGTACAAATTTGCCTCTACATCCAAAATTACCTTAGAGATATTTAGGGATGAGAGTTGGCTATGTGCCAGCAGTATTTTTAGTTCTGACCTTTGTTAAGGAAAAGAAGCTGGGGCACAGAGGTGCACAGCAGATTAGTGGAATTCTTAAGGATATGTCAAAATTTGTAAATCAATTTTTTTTTTTGTAGCTGAAATCAGAATTACTTATGTTAAAAGTGTGACTTGGTTTGGGTGTAAGACAGAAAAGAATGGTAGGGATTATAACAACCTGGAGGGTACATATCCAAACTAAAAACACCTACAACCAAAATGTTGAGAATGTTACAAAGGCCTGTTTGCAAGATGCTGCTCTCTGACCCTTACACTGGCCAGCACATGCTAAAAAGCACTGGCTCATTTCTTATTTCATTAGCAACTATCCTGCTTTACTGAAGGACACAGGCAGAAACAAAGAAGTCCTCAAAAGACTGCTCCATATGTAGCCTCAATTGGGCCTTGGACTTGCCCACTATTTTCCTTCACAGCTTATGACCCACCTTGTTACTTTGTGGCTTACTGAGATTTCCACAGCATTTCAGATTTTGAGGTGGCATTTCAGATTCTGATGTTTCAAAACAAACAATAAAAACCCTTCACACACCTTATGCTTCCTCTTGCCTTTGTTGGAAACTTTTTCTGAGGGTTGTTTCTGGGCCTCTCTCGTGTGTTTTTCTGCCACATTTTTCTTTTCCCCCTTGGGTGGCTCTGTTTCTTTGTAAGGCTTTCCTGGTATTCTAGTCAAAAGATTCAGGTCAATCTTCACAATAAGTGGATACCTGTCATCAGGCTCACTGAGGGGTGAAAGAAGTTCCTTCTCTTCCATAGGAGAGAACATTCGTTGCCGAAAAAAGCTATCTTCTTCCTCTATTGAGGAGGGTTTAACAGGAGTCCTATTACTCTCGGGGTACTTAGGAGTCTGTGAGGAAGGAGGAAGGCTCTCGCTTTCATCCGAGTCTGAGGATGAGGTATCTGTTTCTATGATTTCCCTTGATTTCTGGGAAGATTTACTTGTTGACTTATATTTCTTTTTCTCTGCTGCCGGTCGAGGGGAAGACTTAGACTCCTTCTTTATATTGGGTTTCCTTGAGCCTTTGGTGGCTGCTTTGTGTCTGCTGGAGGGCATACTGCTAGCCAAGTCTACAGGGGTTTCACTTTCTATCTTCAGGCCTCCACGAGGCTCTTCAGCAGCTGCCTTCTCAGCCTTTTTGGGTTGTTTTTTGCCTACAGTTCTTCTCTGTGTTGTGCTGTCACTCTGAGCAGGAGATTTCTGCCTCCCACGCCCACTTTCTGATCCCTTTTGGATGGTTTTGGAGTCTCGTCCAGGAGTAGCGGAACTCATTTCTTTAGGTCCACTTGTATCAGTGTAGCTATTCCCAGTGCCCTGCTCTCGGCCTTCCTTTTTGTAACCTTGAGATGATGGGATGTTACTGTCCACTGAAGAAGCAGGTGACACTTTATGTGGGTTCACCTTATTCAGCCAATTATCAAGTTGCCACTTGTTTGTTGGCGGGGGTTCAGGCTGAAAAACAGAGAAATATGTATGCTTTTGTCAATACTGAAGCTTTCTCCCTCCTTTATAACCTCAAAGAAGACAAAAACTACAATTGCCTCAAGCAACAAAAGCATTTACTTGCCATGATTCTCTATGAACCAAAGCAAAGGGCTGCATATTGACTATTAGCTCTTATCATCTGAATGAGAAGATAAGCTTAATGTTATATACAACCTTTAAATTAAAATATTCCCATTCAAGAATCCAATTTCAAAAGCATAATTACAAATGACCATACAGAATATTTAATTCTAAAAAGTAAAGAAATGATGTAGGTACAAAGAGATTTTCAACTGCAATTTAACAAGCTATACTAAAATTGTATTATATAAGATGCTTTTTATCAACAACAGGATGTTCTTTGTAACTACAGAACATCAATTACCATGTTGAATCATAAAAATAAAGACCAAACTAAAGATACACAATATTTTAGTGACCTGTAATATGATGCCAAGCAGTTCCTAATCTAGACCAAATTTCCTCAAACAACACGGAACCGTATGTTTCCTCCAAGGTACACAGTACAATTTCTTTTTGTCAGAATATGGAATCTTCTTTCCTTTACCTTTTATATTTAAATCAGGTCTTAAATGGACATCACCAAGAATCCTGAGAGGGCCTATGGAAGGTAGCCCCTCTCTCTGTCTCACCTCGGGAGATGCACTCTGGGATGGCTCATTTGCCTCACTGTCACTGGAACTACTTTCACTCTCTGAGTCAGATCCAGAGCTGCTTTCAGATCCACTGTGGCTACTAGAATCATCCCTGGAGTTATCTGCTCCTTCACTATTATGGTGTGAAGGTTCAGAGTTACTAAAAGAGATGAAACATACAAATGTCCAAAGTTTATTTTACATTGACAACAGGAAAACATCCAAATCTGACAACCAACTTTCTTGTTTTGTTTTGTTTTTTGAGACAGAGTCTCACTCTGTCACCCAGGCTGGAGTGCAGTGGCATGATCCTCAGCTCACTCCAACCTCCACCTCCCGGGTTCAAGCAATTCTTCTCTTAGCCTCCTGAGTAGCTGGGACTACAGGCACCTGCCACCATGCCCAGCTAGTTTTTGTATTTTTAGTAGAGGCAGAGTTTCACCATATTGGTCAGGCGGGTCTCAAACTTCTGACTTGAGGTGATATGCCCGCCTTGGCCTCTCAAACTGATGGGATTACAGGCGTCAGCCACCACACCCAACCACAACTCTCTTTAAAATGTTTACTCTTTGTTAGACTCTTAAAATTTTATGAATCCAGAACTTCACTGTAAATGAAATGAATAATTCCTTTTAAAAGTTTCTGATGTGCTGCTTAGCTATTAATTCTCCCCTTTTAAAAACAGTTTGAGGTATAATATACAAACCACCTACTTTAAGTGTATAACTCAATTATTTTTAGTTAATTTACAGAGTTGTACAACTACTATCAAAACTGATATTTACTTTTAAGGCCACTTATTATACCCCTACAAATGTTATCAGGCTGATCCAACTCTTACCAATAAAAGATAAAAGCAAAGGATGCTCACCTTCCTGGTGTGCTCCTCGGCATTGTCTTATCACAATCCTAAAATTAAAGCAGAAGAAGGAATCTGTGAATGAATAGAAAGTATTCTATTTGCTTCGTGTGAATAATATCTGAACTCTTAACAAAAAAAACTGGATTCTCTATGCAACAATGCCTAATTAACACTTATACTGTTTTTACCTAAAGAGTAACTGAATTGCCAGTATAAGATCAAAAGCTTTGTTAATAGTTATTATTGTCAATGATCTACTGCTTCATGAGTATGTTCTGATCCATAATAAATGTGAGGAAAACCCAATTTTTAAAAAAAATATAAGAAAAAAATGGAGATTTAAATACAGAGAGGAAAACTACAACATTCCAGTGTCAGAAAGCTTATTAGAAGAAACTTATTTTAAGTAATAAATGCATTATTCAATTATCATTTTTATAAGATACAATGAAAATATACTACATGAGACTGGCAAAATAATACAATAGTAGACATACCTGTTCCCCATCACTGTCTTCACTGCTGCTCAGTTTTAAGTCATCTTTTAACATACTAAGAGAAAAGGCAGAAAGGATTATTATTTTTGGAACAGTTTACATGGTATGCCAAAGTACTAAATTCTAGAAACAATCACTGTGGTAGCCAAAGATTCAACCAAAAAACAAAACACCAGTAAGTCTTATTCTATCTAGTTTGATTCAGTCTCAAAATTGAGAATCAAGGAATTTAACTATCTCATAAGCTCTAACCTTCCCGTGAATAAAATATTCACCTTTTCTAATTAAACAAAAGCAACTTTCTATAAACTCTTATATTCAGTTCTGTAATCTCTAATTTTTCCTTTAATTGTGCACACACATATTCATTATTAAAAATTAACACAGCCATACCCAACAATCCACTAGAGAGATATAAGTCCTAAAAAGAAGGAAGACAAAATGAAAGCATCAAGCAATTCTTTCTTTGTACCCTATGTTCCACAAAGAGAGGTTAGTGTAACTGTTAACAACTGGGTAACTGTGAAAACCAGAACAGTTTCCTAAGCCAAAGTTTTACTTCATAAATGCATTGCTATGAAAGAAATTGCCCTCTATAAATAAAAATTTCAGGTAAAAGCCTTGGCTTTATAGCAGCAATGACTATGTACATGTTTTTAAAACTCCTAAGTTCTGGCTGGGTGCAGTGATTCACACCTATAATCCCAGCACTTAGGGAGGCCGAGGTGAGCAAATCACCTGAGGTCAGGAGTGAGACTAGCCTGGTCAACATGGTAAAACCTCGTCTCTACTAAAAATACAAAAATTAGCTGGGGGTGGTGGTGAGTGCCTATAATTCCAGCTGCTCAGGAGATTGAGGTAGGAGGAGAATTGCTTGAACCTGGGAGCTGGAGGTTGCAGTGAGCTGATATCCCATCACTGAGCTCCAGCCTGGGTGACAGAGCAAGACTGTCTCAAAAACAAAAACAAAAATAAAACCGCCCAAGTTCCAGAGTCTCCCTTGAGCAAAATTCAAATCAATTAAAACACATACACAAATACTAAAAGCTAACAGTTTCTGGAATTTGTTTTTGAAAGTAAAATTAAAGATGTAAAATCAAAACAATTAAACTTAAAATTGTCTACACAGCCCACAAAACATTTCTTATCTTTTTACAGAGGAGGAAAAATTAATACAAAGCTTAGGGAGAACTACAACTAGAAAAAGGTCTAATTTCTCATTACCAGTAATTCCATTACCTTTCTTAAAATTTCATGACTATCTCCAATCAGCGGGAAGGAAATCTTTCACTCTAATAACTACTTGTACTTTCCCCATCAAAGTTTAACCTACATTTCTGTACCTGACCCTAAGTTCAAAATATAACATATAAAAGATCACCTTGAAATAAAGTAACCAGATGATTTTTAAAACAGGCCCAATTAAATGGAACAGGGAAAAAAGAGTTTTCTTTCAGGCAAGGGCTGAGTACGTCTATCTCTATGACTGATTTTCCTCTAAGGAAATGTACTTACTCTGAATTCTCTCAGCCCTTATGATTTAATAATGGCAGCTCAATGAACTTGTTTACACATGTGAATATGTCAAAGCTTTTACCAGACTGCTCAAGGCCCTGCACACACTTTTGTTCCCTTAGCAACCAAAGTGATAGGTACAAATATGTAAGTACAGAGCAGTTCTTTACATACAAATAAATATGATAACAGGAATATAATTTGAATTTTTCAGTGTGGGGGGGTGCTTCTTGTGTTCATGTATTTTCATTCTTAGTTCTTATGTTCAGCTGAAGTGCTACCAGGCTCGGGGCATCACAGTAGTTTGTGACTGTGGCATAGAAAGCTGGCACTATAGTCACTGTTTCTTTAGAACTTTAATCACTGAGTTAACTTGCAGTCTCAGGAATTCATTTTTTAAGTTGGAATTTGTTTTCATCCAATACATTACCCTGTTACATTTTTAAAAATATATTCCTGGATCTACCAACAAAATAAAAATAAGAAAACTTAAAGACAGTACAAACTACATTTGTTACTTAATCTAGTGGTTAAATGAAGGGCTTGGCTTAAAGAAAAATCATGTCTTTTTCTATTTTATGACTTCTTTACTAAATACAAATTAGGAATATACACACAAAAACATACACCTGCAACTCTCAGATGAGAAAAAAAAAATTATCTCAGAGCAGAGGCAGGCAAACTGTGGCCACAAGCCAAATCCAACCTGCCACATTGTTATAAAGAGTGTGGCTGGAATATGGTCTACAGCTGCTTTCATATTACAGTGGCAGAGCTGAGCAGTTAAAACACAGACTATGTGGCTCTGAAAGCCTAAATATTTCACTATCTGACCCTTTACATAAAAGTTTGCATGCTCATGCCTTAAAAGATCAATATTTATTTTATTTTTTAATTTTGAGACTGAGTATCACTCTGTGGTCCAGGCTGGAGTAAAGTGGTGTAATCTCAGCTCCCTACAACCTCAGCCTTCCAAGTTCAAGTGATTCTCCTGCCTCAGCCTTCCAAGTAGCTGGGATTACAGGCACCACCACCAAGCCTGGCTAATTTTTTATTTTTAGTAGGAAGGGGTTTCACCACATTGGCCAGGCTGGTCTCGAACTCCTGACCTCACAGGATCCACCAGCCTTGGCCTGCCAAATGCTGGGATTACAGTTGTGAGCCACCTCGCCCAGCCTCAATATTTCTAAATATTGTTAAAAATACCCAGATATAGCCAGGCGCGGTGGCTCACGCCTGTAATCCCAGCACTTTGGGAGGCCAAGGCAGGTGGATCGTGACATCAAGTGGATCACAACGTCAAGCAATCAAGACCATCCTGGCCAACACGGTAAAACCCTGGCTCTACTAAAAATACAAAAATTAGCTGGGCTTGGTGACGTGCGCCTGTAGTCCCAGCTACTTGGATGGCTGAGGCAGGAGAATTGCTTGAACCCGGGAGGCAGAGGTTGCAGTGAGCCAAGATTGCGCCACTGCACTCCAGCTGGCGAAAGAGCGAGGCTCCGTCTCAAAACAAACAAACAAAAAAACTCCCCCAGATATTACAGGTAACTTTTATAAAAATGATAAACATGAAACTTATTAAGCAATAAACTTACGATTTAGACTGGTGCCCATTTGAAGTTTTAGAAGGATTATATCTTTCTGGAACAAAAACAATGAAGTGAGCAACTAAAGTATGGCTATTTAGACTGTAAAATGTCTATATAAAATATCTACCCTCAAATAAATGTAAATCAAACAATGAAATATAGTTCTTCATCCACCAAACAGGTAACACCTTCAAGCCCAATAATATGAGATACTACAGGGGAAATAAGCATGCATTCCTGTTGCTGGTAGGACTGTAAACTCATACTATCTTCTTGGAGGGCAATCTGGTAATATACTATAACTACACTGCTAACTGACTTAGTAATTCTAATATAAGGAATTTACATTACAGGCATAACCTTGACACACACACACACACACACACACACACGGGAATGTTTTCATAGCATGGTTTGTAACAGCAAAAACTGGAAAAAAAAAATGTCCGTCAATATTTAAGGTGGAACTAAGAAATGGATATACAGATAAAGAAAGCATAATTTCCCAAAATACCTTATAACTAGTATAAATCTACCTTAATTAAGAAGTTACTGCTCTTGGCAATAAATTATGATAAAGTGAAATAAATTATGCCTGCTCTTGTTACCCAGGTTGGAGTGCAACGGCACAATTTTGGCTCACTGCAACCTCCGTCTCGGGTTCAAGCGATTCTCCTGTCTCAGTCTACCAAGTAGCTGGGATTACAGGCACCCGCCACCACACCCAGCTAATCTTTGTATTTTTAGTAGAGGTAGGATTTCGCCATATTGGCCAGGCTGATCTTGAACTGCTGACCTCATGATCTGCCTTCCCTGGCCTCCCAAAGTGCTGGGATTACAGGTGTGAGCCACCGTTCCCAGCCAGATACTTTCATATTATAAAACAATTTTAAGGTTAAAAGAATGAGCTAGAGCTTTATACTGATATAGAAATAGCTCTAAAACAAAGTGAAAAACACAAAGTAATAATGAGTAGAGGCAGCTTATAATCCCATTTGTGAACAGCTTTTAGGAAAGAGAATGGGAGAGGAGTAGAAGAATGAAATATTCTTAAAAGATGACGACTATAAAAAACAAGCTGAGAAAAAGGAAATAAAAAGAAGAGAGAAAATGTAAATTTTCTGGCCTACATCTAGCTATTTTCTGCATATTAACAATGTCAGGTCCCTTTTTCTTGTAGCTACAGCCTTTATGGTGGAACTAAGAAATGGATATATAGATAAAGAAAAGCATACATCAAAAGAGGTATTCTTCTAGTTTTACCTCTGCATTAAGATCACTGAAGATAACAAATCAAGGATCAAAAAGTTCCACATTTTCATTTTCCAAAATACCTTATGACTAGTATAAATCTACCTTAATTAAGAAGTTACTGCTCTTGGCAAAAAGAATACCTATCTTGTTACCGAGGTATATGGTGAAGCCCACACATTTGCAATGGTTCCTGATCTTACCACTCTCAGTCTACACAACCACAGTCTCTTGGAACCGATTTGAATTCCCTAAGACTATCTTCCCTAGAAGTTCTTCTGACAGGCCAAAAGAGTAAGGGCAAAGGTGAGGGTATAGCAGGCAGAGGACTTTCTACCCAGATCAGAAAACCAAGGAAGAATAAACAGGGAACGTACAAATATAAGAAGAAAAGAGACATGGTCAGCTAAATAAAATGACCCCTTCCTGTGTGGCACTTTACCATCATAGAACCAAGTATCTTCATGAAGAAAGTTAAAAGAAAGAATGACTCTTGAGTTTATGAGGTGCCCATCAAATTGTGTTCACTAACTATTAGTTCAAATACTTAACAAAAGTAGTGTATGTTGATCTCCAATGACCTACAGTTCTTGAATTTTTTAAAGCATAACAATTTTTCAGCTCAACCCATTACTACTCATTAGATCATAAAAATCAGTATATGAGGGTGTGGTGGCTCACACCAGTAATCCCAACACTTTGGGAGGCGAGGTGCGTGGATCACTTGAACTCAGGAGTTCGAGACCAGCCTGAGCAACATAGTGAGACCCTACCTCTATGAAAAATTTAAAAAATCAGCCAGGCATGGTGGCATGTTCCCGAAGTCCCAGCTACTCAGAAGGCTGAGGCAGGAGGATCACTTGAGACCTGGAGATGGAGGCTGCAGTGAGCTACGACCACACCACTACATTCCAGGAAAAAAAAAAAAGAAAAAGAAAAATGAAAAAAGATATGACATGTAAAGTTATTATCAAAATTATATATGGTATGACCATGAAAGCTGAATGTTCAATAAATAGCTTAATTTGAAAAACCAAGAGGGAAAGAAATACTCACTTTGTTCTCCAGGGCCAAAATTGGACTGCTGAGACTCCTAAGAAAAAGGAACATAATATTATACAAAGTGACACTAAAAAAGAAAGGTTAATTAGTGAAGAATGCTTAAATTATATAAAAACACTTCAAGTACTTGAAAAAGCACAGAAAGAATATAATGATCCTGTCTGATCAGCTTTGGCAATTTTGTGATCAATAATGGACTTTCCCAGAGATTAATACAAAAAGAATTAAGCCACCTAATAATCTTTATCATTCAATTCTTTCAGCAGCATCCATTGTAGTCATATTCTTATTCGGAGCCCTTTAGAAAGTAAATTCAATTTAAAAATCTTGGTTTTAAGAAAACACTTTATTTAAAACTAAAGGTAATACTGAAGACAGTGTACTAGGTGAAAATAGCTGCATAACCTTTATTCATTAAAAGCATTCCACTTTTTTGGGAGGCCGAGGTGGGCAGATCACGAGGTCAGGAGATCAAGACCATCCTGGCCAATATGGTGAAACCCCATCTCTACTAAAAAATACAAAAATTAGATAGGTATGGTGGCACGTGGCTATAGTCCCAGCTACTCAGGAGGCTGAGGCAGAAGAATCACTTGAATCCAGGAGGTGGAGGTTACAGTGAGCCGAGATCATGCCACTGCACTCCAGCCTGGTGACAGAGCAAGACTCCATCTCAAAAAACCAACCCCCCCCAAAAAAAAAACCTCACCACTTTTATAGACTAAAAAACCCCATATGAATATTTCCTTATCATTTTACTACCTCCTTCTCCCTGCTCCCAATATTTTATATACATTAGCAACTTGAAGAAGAGATGGTCATATACTTCCATGTAAGCCCTATAACAGCATAGTGGCTGGCACTCAGGAAGCACCAATAGTGAGAAACCAAAATGTCACCCTCAGTAAAACATGGCTTTCCAAACTCAATTTTCATGACCAGAACAGCTGTTCCATATGTACAAACTATGCATTTCTCAAAATTAAGTCTGAGTACAAGATGTAGCACTAAAATTACACAAATATTCCTAAAAGCCTACTTAAAAACAAGCATAATCTTCCTTTAGTTACAGAATTGTCTGTGAAAGAACAATTAAACTAATAGGAAAGCTAAAATATAGTGTTGCTGTTAAAAAAACATTAAAAACTTATTTCTACAGTCAACTGATTTTCCAAGAGGATGCCAAGACCATTACATGGCATCCTCTTAATAGTGCTGGGAAAACTGAATAGCCATAGGCAAAATAAAGCTGGGACTTTATATCACACCGTATAAAAAAAACTAATTCAAAATGGACCAAAGACCTGTAAATGTAAAAGCTAGAGCTATAAAATCCTTAGAAGAAAACATAGTGCCAAATCTAAAATGACCTGGGATTTGGCAAGATAAGCTGGACTTAATTAAAATTAAGAACTTCTGTGCTTCAAATGATGTTATCAAAAAAGTGAAAAGACAACTCACAGAATGAGAGAAAATATTTGCAAATGATATCTCTGATAAGGGGCTGGTATCCACAGTATACTACAAAGAGCTCTTACAATTCAATAATAAAACAATCCAATTAAAAAACAGGAAAAGAACCTGAATAAACATTTACCCAAGGAAGACATATAAATGGCCAATAAGCAGATGAAAAGATGTCTCACACTTGTCATCAGGGAAATACAAATCAAACCACTTCACACCCACTAGGATGACTAGAATCAAAAAGACAGATTTAACAAGTGTGGATAGGGATGTGGAAAAAATCAGAACCCTGGTGAGAATGTGAAATGGTATAGCTACTTTGGAAACATTCTGGCAGTTCCTCAAATAAGTTAACACAGAGTTACCAGAAGACCCAGACATTCCACTCTTAGGTATATAACCAAACAAAATATAAACATATGTCTACACAAACACTTCTACATAAGTGTTTATAGCAACATTATTCATAATAGCCAAAAAGTGGAAACAACTCAAATGCCCAACAGCTGATGAATGTACGAACAAAATGTGACATACATCCGTACACTGGAATAGTATTTGGCCATAAAAAGGAATGAACTACTATTACATGCTACAACTTAGATGAATCTTGAAAACATAATGTTAAGTGAAAGAATCTAGTCACAAAAGACCACATGCTACCTTATCCTATTTATATAAAATGTTTACAACAGGGAAATCTATAGTAGACTAGACTAGTGGTTGCTTAAGGGTGGGAAGGAGGATAGAGGGAAAGAGGGATAACAGCTAAAGGGTACAGTTTCTTTTTGAGTTGATGATTTACAAATAAACTCAAAACTACTGAACTCTACACTTGAAGCAGGTGAATTAGATGGTAAGTGAATCGCATCTCAGTATGTGAAAAAACTGTAACTAAAGCAGTAGGCAAGAGGTCACTTTTGTGACTTCTGTTTAAAATGAAGATTCCAGGGTGGGTATGGTGGCTTACACATGTAATCCCAATACTTTGGGAGGCTAAGGTGGAAGAATCGCTTGATGCCAGGAGCTCAAGACCAGCCTGGGCAACATATCAAGACCCCATCTGTACAAATAACAAAAGTAAAATAAAATGAAGATTCCTTTATCTCCTTGAATTGCTTATTGTCTAATATTCATTTACTTGGTGAATGGTCTAAAAGTTATTAGCCCTATATTCCAAGTAATCTCTGATTTCTTTGTCTTATCTCTGACAAAGTCCCCAAATACTACTAGATTCTGTCTCTTAAACACCCACCAAAGGCAAGACCACTTGAACAGGAAAGATTCAGGTCCTCATCTTTCTTACCTACAGTGACCTTCTAATGGATCTTCCTGGCTCTAGTCTTTCTCCTTCACTCAACTATAGCCTCCAGTTTATCCTTCTACAGCCCAAGTCTTAGTATGTGTCATCACTGCTTGCCTATTTTTCGTAGAATCTCCAATGACTCTGTTTTTTCCTAGTATGAAACCCAAACTCCCTGGCATCATACTTACTCATGTATCAAAGTACTGAGAAAACAGAATAAGCAAAAACTGACAAGGGCCCTGTCCCCAAGGAGCTTAACACCTATTTGAATGTCAATATGACTACCTTTGCAAATACTCATGCAAATCAAAGTAAAATGGCAACTGTGATAAGTACAATAAAGGGCAAATACGCAGAATTATATTGAGTTTGTAATTGTGTGTGTCTGTGTGTATGAGAGAGAGAGAGAGAGAGAGAGAGAGAGAGAGAGAGATCTAGCCAGGAAGATGACCAAAGGCTTCCCTGAGGGACCTGCCATTCAGATTGAAGTTTGAAGGATATGTAGGAAATAAACTGGGAAAGGAGGAGATAGGCTAAGTGCCGTAGGGAGAGAGAAAACATGTGGTGTAATGCCAGCTTAAAAGGAAGAGCACAGCTAGTACGAGGAACTTAAAGGTAGCCCACAGGGAGGAAAAAGTACAGGTGAAAGAGTGGTAAGACATGAGACTGAGACCTAAAAAGCTACATCACACAGTTTACAGACCTTGTAGACCATATTAAAGACCTGTGTGTGTGCAGCTTATTAAGTAGAAGAGTCACGCAACTATATCTGCATATTGTGAAGACCATCTCGCCTACTAAGTGGAGAACAGCTTTACAAAAGCTAGGATGGCGTTAAGGATACAAAATGAGGTTACTAGAGTAGTAGTAGAGTAGAAGCTGTGGCTTAAACAAGTTTGTCTTCAGGTTTTTTATCATGTACTCTATTACTAAGAAATTTTTCCATTTGTATCTCCAAAATATGTACAGAGTATGCATTACTACTTAACTAACATATGTATAAGGTTAATATATTGCAATTTTAAAGGCGTAAGATAAAACTTAACATTTTTAATTTTTAAATTATATTTATGAATGACAACAAAAACCTTCCTTACACACAAAAATATAACACTTCAAAGGTATGACTAAGCCTTTCAGCCGGAACCACCATCTTCCAGTAATTCGCCAAAATGACGAACACAAAGGGAAAGAAGAGAGGCACTCGATGTATGTTCTCTAGGCCTTTTAGAAAACATGGAGTTGTTCCTTTGGCTATGTGAATCTATAAGAAAGGTGATATTGTAGACATCAAGGGAATGGGTACTGTTCAAAAAGGAATGCCCCACAAATGTTATCATGGCAAAACTGGAAGAGTCTACAATGTTACCCAGCATGCTGTTGGCATTGTTGTAAACAAACAAGTTAAGGGCAAGATTCTTGCCAAGAGAGTTAATGTGCGTATTAAGCACTCTAAGAGCCGAGATAGCTTCCTAAAACGTGTGAAGGAAGATGATCAGAAAAAGAAAGAAGCAAAAAAGAAAGGTACCTGGCTTCAACTGAAGCACCAGCCTGCTCCACCCAGAGAAGCACACTTTGTGAGAACCAATGGGAAGGAGCCTGAGCTGCTAGAACCTATTCCCTATGAATTCATGGCATAATAGTTGTTAAAAATAAATAAATAAATAAAAGACCTCTGGACTGTTAAAAAAAAAAACAAAAAAAACCCAAAAAACAAAGGTATGACTAAGACTGACTTATTTTGACATCTGGTTTCAACAGATGCCACAAAGATATAGTTATACTCATGGAAGAAATACTATGCTTATTAAATCATAGTACCAAACTTTCAGTCCTGCACATTATGTAAAGGATTCTACTGAAGTTGAATTAGATTTCCATGTTCTCTGGTATAAATCATTTAGGAAAATTAATTAAAAGTTTGCGTTTTAATATTTTTAGCAAATAGGCTCACACCACTGAGTAGAATTTTTTGTTCAGCTCTTTAAAGTTTGCACTTTAGTAACCGTGGTTATTGGTAACAAAAAAACTAAAAATACATAAACAATGACAATATTATTTTTAAGTGTTATTTTCCTAACGGGTATATTTTTTATGGGAGCAGTTACTTCATTCATTGTTAAAACACTGTTTGTTTGTTTGTTTTTTTCGAGATGGAGTTTCATAGTTGTCACCCAGGCTGGAGTGCAATGGAGTGATCTCTGCTCACTGCAACCTTTGCCTCTTGGGTTCAAGTGATTCTCTCAGCCTCCCAAGTA